CACTGCGCATGACATACCCCCCCCCATGAAAACCACTAAGAGTGATGGAGGTCTCCTCTCAATATATTTTTTTAGATGGTAATAGGACTGCGTGGAGTCCAAATTGTTCTGTTCTAACAAAGTATATGTCAGCTTTTTACCTTCACAAAGTTTCCGATGGCTTATTGGCTGGAATCCAAATCGAGAGGGCAGTTAGCAGTCACAGTATTTTTCTTCTTTGATCAGGCGAACCCTGTGTGGCTTTAATTTAAATATAGCGCAAGTTAGCGTTAAAAAGTGTGTACGTCATTCACTTTTTTTAAGGGAATGGGGACTAAGGTTTCATTTTAAAAACACGCACGATCATTTATTTCTAAGATTTTTCGAAACATTTGTGAAGTATTTAGAGACGGAAGAATTTTTAGGAAGAAATTATTTAAAATTTCGATTTAGAGCGCATTTTTCAGGATTATCTGCGTTTAAGCCTGACAAGGTATGGCATTCATGTGACTCAGGGGAGAAAGTCTAGCCTTATTCATAGGTCATCATTTGCTTTCTGCTCTTTGAAGCGATTGAAAGATTAAGTGAAGAATGGTAAATGCAGTCAGTAAATCGCTATTTTGAATAAAATAAGAAGCGGATCTACAATGACTTCCGATGGCAGGCTCGCGAGTATGAAAAATACCGTTTGGAAAGTGTGGAATAACTGTTGTGGAAATATTTACCAAACCATCCAACCGACTTGGAACTCACTACGCGAAAAGGCTTGGGCCACCGGAGAACACACTAAGAAACATCTCAAGTCATTACATACTGCCTGTGTTGAACAAAAGAAGTTCATTCAAGACAAACTAGATACCTTGAGTGGTCATTCTTCCGCTGGCAGGGCGATTGTAACAGCAATACACGTAATGGCCATGTTGTTTCTTATCACGGTCGCAATTGAATGTGCTTATCACTTCAGGCCACTGTACTGGAAGATTGTTGAATTGTCTTTTAATCTTCTGTACCTGGTTGTAATGCTCCTCATCCGATTTACGGGCATGGTCTTGATGAGTATTGGTTTTGTGGCGGCTATGAATTTCGTCTTTGGCGTGATCTTAGCCCTAACGTTACGCAGTTGGTTTATGGAAGTTGAATATCGCAACTGAACTACATCACGACGAAAATAGTACACGACTTATTATTGATGTTAAAGCTTTGCCATCGATGGGAATCAAGAAATCGGCGTACGGCCGCTCTCAAGACAACATAAATTTATTAATAATGATAAAAATAACAATAATAATAGTAGCAATAGTAACAAATGAACATTGTGAAAAGGTTCATGATCAAAGATTCGTGACTTTAGCGTGACTGATAAGTGATTGTAAACAAGCTGTTATTTTGGTCACAGGTTGTCATCTTTGAAGTAAACTGCAAAGTCAAGTTTAACTCTATTTTTGGCTACTTTCTGTCGAATTAAAGCCGTAAAAAAAGAGGAAATCCGAACAAAATGTAGTGCGAATGAAAAATCGATCGTCGCAAAAAGAAACTGAAAAAAGAAAAGCCAGTACACCCTACTCAAGAAATTTTACGGGCGAAAACGCGAGTCTATAGCACCTTATAGTTCAACCACTAAATTTTCTCCGGTTCTTATTGGTTTAAATCGATCACGTGACGCGATAGTGTTCATCCGTGGAGAGACACTATCAGCCCATAGTGCCCGCCCGCGGAAAATACCCGGAGGATAGTGCCCGTCCGCGGAAAATACCTGGATTGATAGTGCTCATCCGTGAAAAGTTTTGAATAGTTTGACGGCCGCGAAGTTAGGCAGATCGGAAAAACAGTGACTTTTCAATTCTGACAGGTATAACGTATT